AATTAGTTAAGGATGTGCCATTTGGCAGCTTAATTTGATAATCTTTTATTGAATAATAAGTGGGGTAGTGATAATAACCATAGTTTTATTCATGTATTGCCCTTCCTTGTAAAAAATCCCAAGGTGATGAAGAAAGCAATGAAACAAAAACATTACTGAACAGCAATTAAAAGCATCCATTAAGATGTGATCCACTTGCATGGATCAAGGAACTAAGGAACAATATTCTAATGCATAAACAGGATGCTCCTAAGGGTGAAGAAAGAGAATCAGTCATACTTAGGAAAGAAAATATAACTCCCTGGAACCACTGGTGCAATTTTTAGAAGATGGAAGATAGAACCATAAAGGTCTTCTACTCCAACCACTTGCTCAAGGCAGGAATTTTATACCATCCTGGTCAAATGGTTATCCAGTCTATTTTTTAAAAACTCCAGTGATGGAGCACCCACAGTTTTGGGAGGCAACCTATTCCACTGATTGATTCTTCTTGCTATCACAAAATTTCTCATTAGTTCTAGGTTGGATCTCTCTTTAACAAGCTTCCATCCTCTACTTCTTGTCCGGCCAACATGCCTACTCAGAAGCAAGGTCAAGGTTTACATGTACCGTAGAAACAGATGCTTGCTCCTGGGGAGGAAAGCTATGGCAAATCTAGACAGCATACAAAAAAGCAGAGACATCACCCTGCCAACAAAAGTGCAAATAGTCAAGGCGGTGGTTTTCCCATTTGCAATGTATGGCTATGAAAGTTGGACCATAAGAAAGGCTGAGCGCCAAAGAACGGAGGCCTTTGAACTCTGGTGCCTTGGACTGCAAGGCGATCAAACCAGTCAGTCTTAGAGGAGATCAGCCCTGACTGCTCTTGAGAAGGCCAGATCCTGAAGATGAAACTCAAATACTTTGGCCACCTAATGAGAAGGAAGGATTTGCTGGAGAAGCGCCTAATGCTGGGAAAGATTGAATGCAAAAGAAGGGGATGGCAGAGAAGAAGGGGGCTGAATGGAGTCCCTGAAGCAGTTGGCGTAAACTTAGATGGACTCCAGAAGATGGTAGATGACAGGAGGATCATTGTCCATGGGGTCGCAATGGGTCAGACATAACTTTGTAACTAACAAGAAACAAAGTCCATAGCAAACATGTATATGATGTTAGTCTTAATCATGATGACTCTATGCCCAACCAAAGTTCTTCCCGCGTCTCTAGGGAGACCTTCCAGGTACAGTAATAAGAAGGGTAGAAAAAATGCTTCTGAGGTTGTCCATTGCTCGTTGCCATTTTCCAGCAGAAATATTAAGTCTAATTTCTACAAAACGCCTATTCCTTTTTTTGCAGCTGTACATGTTTAAATGCAAGCAGGGAAGTAGCTCAAGTCCTTTGAACTGCTATCGCCATAACCTCTGCATTCTAATTAGAAAGCATCTACATTTATCTCCTTTCTGCCAGCCCGTGGCTCCCTCTTGTGGCTCATTAAACCAAGCCTCTCCTTTTCCCCGGGTTCTTCCTTCTCTGTAATGATCAACACTGCTGTTCATGGCTTCCAACAGTAGGTGCGAAGTCACTCATTCCGGCTTGGATGGGCAGAGTGAACTCTTGACTCTTTGCTTGGGATGAGAAGCACGTTCGCGGGCAAGTTAATTTGTCATGCAGGTTTCTCTCCAAACCTCAATCGAGAAGGATGGTTAATTTGTTTTGCGGATGTTGAAGAGAAGAAGAGAGAAGAAAAAAAAGAGCTGGCAAGGATCAAAATTGCTCTAGCAAGAAAAAAGTGCAAATGAGGATATATATATCT